AAATGAAATATTCTCTCCAGGATAATGTGTGCTTCTCTTATATAGCTAGCCTATAAATATTTGGTTACTGTTGCAATAGAGATCTACCCAGTTTTATAGTATTTCAGAGATTATATTGTATATTTTCAATTCTTCCAGAGTGTGCTTATTCACCTAGTGCAAATGGTCTGTGTTGGTCTGCGAATCAACAAACATTTACTGAGCATCTCGGTGCCAAGCCTAATACGGGCACTGGGGACATGAGAACCAATGGCCTTCCACTCTCCCTGTGGTGGGCTTTAGCTTGATTTTAATTGGAAGTATTCTTTGGATCTGTGTAGGCTCATTCAACATTGGATCGTTAATAACTAGATCCTGTAAATGTGAGAAAATTAGCAACAAGAATTGAACTCTAACAAGGCGTTCACATGCTGATTTTAAAGCCTTTACCTGGCAGGGCGTGGTGGCTCACGCCTGTAATTCTAGCACTTCAGGAGGCTAAGGTGGGCAGATCGCTTGAGGCCAGGAGTTTGAGACCAGCCTGGGCAACATGGTGAAACCCCGTCTCTACAAAAAATACAAAAAAGCCACATGTGGTGGCGTGCGACTATAGTACCAGCTATATGGGAGGCTGAAGTGGGAGGATGGTTTGACCCTAAGTGGCTGGAAGTTGCAGTGAGCCGAGATAGTGCCACTGCACTCCAGCCTGAGTGACAGAGCGGGACCCTGTTTCAAAAATAAAACAAACAAACAAATAAATAAAATCAAGCCTTTACCTGTGCATTTAGGATTTTGCACTGCAAAGGACCCAAGAACCTTTATCTTATCTTTCTAATCTATAGAGAAGGTCTCTGTCGCCCAGGGTGGTGCGATCATAGCTCACCGCAGCCTCCAATTCCTATGATCGAGTGATCCTCCCGCCTCAGCCTCCTGAGTTGCTGAGACCACAGACTCGGGCCACTGCCCGCCATGGCCTCCCAAAGTGCTGAGATTACAGGCGTGAGCCACCCAGCTCCAAACTACTATTTAAATGTCGCCAAGCGTAGTTTAAAAAGTCTCCCAATTTTGAGGGAGGCAAGGGTTGAAAAAACTATTGGGTTCTAGGCCCAGCACCGAAGTGACGGGATGATTCGTACCCCGAACCTCAGCATCACGCAATATATTCAGGTAACATCTGCACCCGTAGCCCCTCTAAAACAAAAATTGAAATTGTATGAAAAAAAAAAACAAAAAACCAAGTCTCCCAAATTTGTTACAAAAAATGCCAACAAACGTTAATCTCGGGTAATCTAATTCCGTTTCCTGGTGTTTTCCTTTTTCTTTTTTTCTTCCAGCCGGCTACACCTCCAGAGACGCCCAACAGGGGGCTCGCGCGCTCGTTCGGGCTCGGCCGCGGGAGAAGCCGGGCGCCCCGGGCCGGAGCTGCCCCGCCAGCGCTGGGGCTTGGCAGCCGGGGAGCGTAGTCCGGAGGCCTCTGAGGACGCCCTTCCGCTCTCCCGGGGCGGGGCGGCGCTGTCCGGCCCTTCCGGCCGCGCTCTGGCCACGCCCCCTCGCCCCTCGCGCGGTCCGGTCCTCGGCATGGTGGCGGTTCTCTGCAGGCGGTGCCTCCCTCGGGCGTGGCTCTGCAGGTGCAACTCCGGCTCCTCCCTAAGCCCCGCAAGCAGTCCCGGGGTGCCCTAGCGGGGCTGCCCCAGTGACCCGGCCCTCGTTCTGTGTTGCAGGAGAGCCGGGCAGGGCTGCGGCCGGCACTACCGCGCCGCGATTTGCGCAGTGTTGAAGAAGCCCCTGACCATTGAAGAGGTGGCCCCCCGCTCCGTCGGGCCTCAAGAGGTAGGGGGCTGGCTTATCCCCTTCTGCCCTCCCCTTCTCCCCGCTACCACACACTCCCCTCAGCCTGCCTTCTTGAATCAAGTTCCCAGTTCCGAAGCGAGAGGGCGACCGAGAGACTGGAGGGCAACTGCGTCCTGGGCTAGGAGGTTGAATCCCTTTCCAAGGTCCAAAGTGCCAAAGGAAGATTGTTTCCCCAAAACACGCCTATAGGCCTCTTTCTCAGTGCTCAGAGCTGTTGCCTTAGAAACAGAGAATTCTGATTTGCACACGACTTTGTATGTGCAAGTTACTGGTTTAACACAGGTACATGGACCTCATCCTTTGCTTCGTTCCACGTTTTAAGTGCCGGCATCCAATTATTTGGCGTCTGCCTCCCCCAAACCAGCCCGGTGACCCCCGTGTTTCCATGTGAACATATGCCTCTGGTGTACTGCAGAGATTTGGGATTGGATTCGTTTAGGGATATGGGCAGCTGTTCCACTGAAATGTGGACGTCACTTTGGTCCTGCCTGTTGACCTCTCTGGTGACACAGTGCCATCTGGTGAGGAGATGAGAACCTCAGACAGCGTCAAGCAGGCAGTGGGCCTCAGTGCTGGAGACCCCCAGGGAGAGGGAGAAAGGCGGCCATAGCCCTGAAGTGTCACCGGCGTGGAGCCTATGAGCTAACATGGCTAACACGGATTATTTGGATGAGCACATGATGGCAGCCTGTCTGCTTCCTGGGTTCACATGCTGAACGACATTCATCCTCGAATCATCCCTAAATCTAGGTGGAGTGGCTTGAGAACACAGGTGTGCCCCATGTATTGTACTGGAGTTTTAATATATGTATCTTCATTATTATCTGGTTAATGTCTGTTTTCTCTGCTATACTTTAGCTTCATGAAGACACAAACCTTGCCCATTTTGCCTCATGAGCGTATCCCAGCTCTTACTTCAGAACCTGGCATATCGTTGTCATTCAGTAACTATTTTGGTATAATTGAATGAACGTTGTCTCCATGGATGTGTAGTTTTCTGCTTTGCTGCTCTATTTCCTTTGCAGGTCAGAGTTGATATCCATTTCTGTGGCGTTAACTTTGCTGATATTTTGGTCTGCCGAGGTCAATATCAGGAAAAGCCCCATCTTCCCTTCACACCGGGTATGGGGATACCAAGAGACTGCTTGAGAAAAAAAAGATACAGCGTTTTCAGAACCATACCCTTGGTCTCAGGCAGTGCTCTGTTAGTGTTTGCCTGCCATCAGTGATGGTTCAGTTGGATGTGTCCATCTCACTGTGAATTAGGGTCACTGGATTGTGAGCCTCATGAGGGCAGATTCTACACCTGTCTTGCTCAACATTGTATCCCCCAGCTTAGCATTGTACGTGGCTCTTAGTGGGTGCTAATAAATACTCTAAATACGAATAAATGAACAAATGAATTTTCACCAAAATTCTGTTCACTAAAATTATCATTGGCCCTAGTCATTCCCTTTCTTTGCTTGATATTGCCCCAGTTTTGTTTCTTCACTGAAGGATCACAGACATTGGTTTGACGCTAAAACCTGCAGCCTCACAGACACATTCCCAATAAAGCCTAATGCCAAAGGATAAGAGAGAAGAAAAGATTGTGGGTTTCTTGGCAGCCAAGTGACTGATTTTTGTTGTTGAAATTTATTTAAAGGGCTATAAGTACAGCTTAGCAAGTATATAGCACATGTATGTTTTATACAGATATATACTATTAAAGATACAGTGATTGTAAAATAGTTACCGTGTTTTGGTCTCAGGGTGTTTGGTTGTGTCTCAGCAGTTGGAACCATCTCCTTCTGTTTGTATTTGCTGAAATGCTGGTTGCAGGGGAAGATGTCATACTCAATTGAGCTATTCCTCTGGCAGCTCAAGTAGGAACCATGGTCGTTAATTCAGAAATTTCGGAAGTGAAAGAGGAAAGGGCAGAAAGCACCACTTCATCCAGTTGAGTCAAATACTGTCTGAATAAACGCAATTCATGTCCTTGAGGGCCCTGTAGTCAGCAGAAGAGACTTGAAAGCCGGTAAATACGATGATCGTTGTCATTGGGTGCTATAGGAGGTAAGGTCCCAGTGATTAGGGTTAGAAGTACCTGTGTACCTGTAATTCTCTGTGGTTTTGCACATTCTTGAAATTTTCATTTGTGTCATGGTAAGATTGGGACTGCTATAGCTTCCCAGGTTGTGATCATGAAATCTTATGTTTGTATAACACCCTTACCTCTCTACCCGCATATGGAGAGGAGGAGGGGCACCTGAACTCTCTCAGCTCCAGAACCTAATGGATTGGCCTGTCAATCAGTGTTTTCTCATCTCCATGGTGTTGTACTTTACAGATAACCTAATCTTTAAACAATATGTTTTTAGGACTCGAGTTTTCTGGGACAGTATTGGAGACAGGCACAGATGTCAGCACAGTTAAAGAGGTAAATTAGTTGAAGTCTAGGGAATCAATATATATGTAGCTATGAAAAATGTGCTAACTTCATTTGTAGCCAAAGGGCCTTGCTTCTACTGGTTTTTGCCTGCAGACACCAAAGGGAAACCTAAATAAAAAGGCAAGAAACAAATTCTGAATTGGGTAAAATAAGTCACTGGAAATTCCTGGCTGCCTTAAACTTTTTATTATGAATAAAAGGCAACACCTCGGTCGTTAACCGAGAGGACTGAGAATTTGAGCCTCTTGTGAAATGAAGACTGGGCTTCTAATTCAAATCAACCTTTCCCTTACTCTATCTCATCGTCTCAAATGTTCTCACTCAAATTGGTTTGGCAACCTGGTAGTGGTATTGAGACAATCCTTATTTTATTTACTAAACATTAACCCTGAATAGATAATTAAGACCAACCTGTGTCTTATGGAGTCAGAGATGTGGATTTTTTTTTGTTTTTGATTAATTCAGCAAAAGGGAATGCAAGGTCATGTATTTGCACATATCCTTAATGGTATTTTTCCTTTAGGGAGATAGAGTTATTGGCATGAGAAACTTTAATTGTATGGCTGAAGAATGCATCATTGATCAGAAGGTATCCGTACCGCTCAAGATTAATGCTTGGAAATTTTTTTCTCCTTTGTTTTCTTTAATTTCCACCTATCCCTCATTCCCGTCTCCCCCTCTCCTTCTTTTTCTTTGTATTTATTTGGTCATGTCTTGTTTCTCAGCTAAGCACTTCATTTTTTCAAATGTTAAACTCCTCTTCATTAACATGACAACACTTTGCAGAGCTTTGTTTGTGTTGAGTGTTTGAATGAAGAACAGCATTTTGCTTTCTGAGTCCCTGAGCTGGCTGTTCATTTGGACTAGGTAGTTTTAGTAGAAAAACTGGTTTTGGGCATTGAGCTGGATGTAATGGTCTTCTCCCCACACAAAGCTTATGAAAGAGACACCCTGGGAATGGAGCCAGCCAGGGTAGTCTAGTATGGTTGTGCAGGGTGTGAATGGTGCCCCCTGGCGATGAACAGTACACAGTTGTTCTCCCTACCCCCTGCCCCACCGCCCTCTGCCATCTTTATTAAGGGAAAACTGACACATCATACCATTCATCCATCACAGTAGAGTGATCTGTGTTCCTTTTTCTACCTGTTGGCTCCTTCCTGAGCCAGATGCCAGCCTTGGGGTTTTGAAGTCTGATGCCTTCGAGTCGTGAACTCTGCCACAGCTTGCTTAGTCTTGACTTCTACTGGGCTTGGTTATGGGCAAGTGTTTCCCTTTGCAAATCAGTCACCGAATCAAATCCTAATATTTACTGAGCAACCTTTATGACTAGGTACATATGCTTCATCCACAAGTCACTGTTATCTCTTTTATAGAACCTGTGGCAGATCCCAGAAAAGATCTCCCTACAAGAAGCTGCTGTCCTCCCTATATCCTATGGTACTGCGATTTTTGCCCTCGAGCATCGGGCCCATACACAGCCTGGGTAAGGACTGTGTAGATGACACCAGGCTAGAAAATACCCTTCTCTTGATATCAGAAGTGTCCAGCAAGGCCTTGCCCCACCTCTTCCCTTTTGGCAGAGGAAAGGCCAAAGGGAGGTAGCCACTTGAGATTGGGGTTTTATGACTGTGAGGACATCTCTCTGTTTGAGAGGAAATGATAGACCGTGAACTTGGCCAGTGTGAATTCGGAGAAATACCTCTCTTAAACGTGACCACTCTGGAGATCATCTCATAAAAAAGCATTAAAGTGTAGAGAGTTGGTTTATTCAAACCCATTTTACTTTGAGTTTAATAGAGGCCCGTGGTATTTGTTTCTGTGAGGCCTTGTTGAGTGTGTTAGGTAGGATATTTCAGAAGAAAAGGTGTTGACGTTTAACTCTTTACCTGGAGCATACATATTGCTTCTTGATGTTTTCAGAGAGCTGACGCTCAGAATTGCTTCAGAGAGGTGGGTTTGGTTGAGCAGTGGCCATTACGTGGTCATCACCTTCTAACATTGGGCAGTATCTAATATGAGAAGGATTTTAAAATAGAATTTCTGGAGAATAAATTGGAATGGTAGCTCAAAGAAAGGGTTGCCACTGATATGAGGGATAGGCTACCTAGAGAGATTTAGGAATTTTTTTCCTGGGAAGTCTTCAAATCTGAACCAAATTAGCATGAATCTAGAAGTCACATCCATAAACCTACAGAGTGGAGAACAGGTGTATATGAAGGTTTGAATGAAATGATCTCTAACATTCTTGCTTTAAAATGTTGTTTCTAAAATGTTTGTGAAATCATATTACTGGTTGACTTTTGAAGGTTTCTGAAGTAACGTTTGTCTTTCTCTGGCACAGAGAAGTTGTTTTAGTGACAGCAGCAGCTGGAACAACAGGCCTTGCAGTGATAGATGTGGCAACAAATGTTCTTCAGGCCAAGGTATTTGTATGTTAGAGTCTCCATTTAAAAAAAATCCTAACTCCAGTTTTCAAACATATATTTATTACAACAATATATTCATTCATTGGTTAAAAATCATGTGCAAGGCACTGGGGATATAAAGTAACCCAGAGCAGGGTCTTGCCATCTATTTTCTTACAGACTAGGGAGGGGGCCTAGAAGCAAATCACTCATCCTTCCAGTTACTAGAACCTGGCAAGGTCTGACCCACTTCATGCCTTCTGCACATGCTATTTTCTCTACCTCTAATGCTCAGAGTTGTCGTTCAGATTTAAACTCAAACGTCACTTTTTCAGAGAAGTATCCTCTGTCTCTCAGTCTAGGTGAGTCCCCTTTCCCTTCTCTGTATGTATAATTTTATAGCACCGTCTACTTCTCTTTCATAATACAGAGCTCAGGGTGTGGTTACTTGTCTCGTTATTGTGTTATTGTCTCCCTCTTACTGGACTGTAATCCCCATGAAGGCAGTGACAGTGTCTCTTTGGTTCATCCCTGTAGTCCTGCACCTAGCATGGTACCTAGAACACAGTAGGCCCTCAAGAACTATTTCTTAAATGAATGAATGAATGAATGAATGATGGAAAAAGACTTAGGTCTCTTCAGACGCATCTTCCTGAAGCTGTGAGTGTTGGAAAAGGGGGACTTCTTGGAGAAGGTAGACATTTAAACTGACTTTTAAAGAATGGGTTGTGATAAGTAAGAAGGGAAGTGAAGGCCTTTTTTAGTGGTGGGAGGGCTTATTAGAAGACAGAGAACTAGGAACTAGCATGGCACATTCAGAGAATTGCAAATAGCATCTCTGGAGCCAAGGACCTGGGGTGAAATGGTGGGAGGGGACTCTAGAGAGGAGGGCAGAGATAAGGTCATGAGGGGCCTTGTGTGGGGCTGAAGAATTTGAACATTTATTGGAAGCTATTGGGAGCATTTGAGGATTTAAAGTAGGGAAGTGAAATGATGTTTTTGCATTTGGAAAAGTTCACTCCAGTAGCCATGGGGATGAGGGATAGGGGAAAGGTCAAGTATAGTCTGGAAGCAATAGGACAGGCTCTTGGAGCAATCCAAGCCGGGATTAGGATAGGATACCTGAACCAACGCATGGAAGCAATGCATTGAGAGATACTGACGTGGAAAAAAATAGATAATTTGGTACCTGGAGAGCATCCTGCTCTAGTCAAAAGAACAAGGCCTTTAAAGTTAGCTTGACATAGGTTCAAATTCCAGCTCTGCCTCCAGCTTAATATCGTCAGCTTTCTCCCTTGTAAATGAATGCTTTCTCCATGGATTTGTTGTGGGAATATTGAGATTACACGTGCAATGCCTATTAGAGGGCGGGGCATGTCAGTAAGAATCACTTTAAAAAGAATCCTGTTATTATTAGACATTGAGTGGGAAGGAGCAAACTAAGTTAACTTGTGGAGTTGCCATCTATTGAGATTGAGAACACGGGCAGGAAGAGTGAGTTGGGTTTTGGCCGTGTTGAATGTGAGGTTCCTGTGGAGCATGCAGTTGGATATCCAGAGGGCAGCTAGGTATATATAGGTTTGGAGATAACTGAATTGGTCTGGAACTCCTTTAAGGGACATCTCTCCTTTCTCATATTAAGTTACGTTCGGGAGGACATGTGAGTTCTGAAAGTAATCATAGATACCAGGAAGCTCCTCAAGTGATATGAACACATTTCATGTTAAAAGGATGAGCTTTTAGCTCCTGTTTGGGGAAGAAACTGTAATTGGCTTTATTGTCTAGAGCTATTGGTTATTTAACATTTCTAGGAAGATAAAATTGTACAAATTGTTTTAAATTGTTATAAATAGTAGAGAGAAAAGCTCACTTTAATTAATATGTTAAAATTAATCTACACTGTATTTCTGTATTTCCTTTAACAGCAATAATGGTTTTAAACAAAAGGAAACAAAAATATAAATGTTACCATGCCACCTATGTAGAACAGGTCATTTTGATTACACCTCGAGTCTACAGCATTTCATATTGCTTCCAAAGTGCCTCCACAGCAATTATCTTACCCTTGATCCTCAAAAGCCCCTGGGAAATGGGTAGTATAAGTGTTTATTATCCCTATTTCACAAGTCAAGAAAGCGAGGCACCAAGAGAGAAAATGGTTCACTGCAGGTCTCATGGAGACCCCGTGAGAATCTTGGGATTCAGTTCAGGTGCCTGACCCTAGAGCAGTGTCTGCCCACTGTGGCACTGTGTGCTAATAGACCTCAGTGAACTGCAGCTATTTCAGGGTTCCACCAGGGAGCATTTGAGGGAAGCATTCAGTTTCAAATAGCTATGGGTCAGTTTGGAATCTTTCAAGGGCACCAGTGTTCTTGGAGTATTCCATTGCAAATTCACCTTGAGACTAAAGTGCTTGGGCTGGTGGGTGCTGCCCCATCATGAGGCACGTCTAGGCAAGACTTGAGTGTTTGCAGCTTTTCTGAAGACTTCCAAACCCCAGACTTCCCCACAGTATGGCCCACCAGCATCTATGCCATCCGTGTCAGCCTTAGGTATGGTTTTCTCCTAGGCTGATGGAGTAGAAAAGCATGGGCTTTGGAGTAACGCAGCAGTGGGCTTGAATAGTTGTTCTAACACCTGCTACCTGGACGACCCTGGTTGATTGCCCAACCTCTCTGAGTCTGTGTCTCTGAAGAATGGTAGTAATTATACTTCCTTCATAATGTTCTTATGAGATTCAAATAGAATAAATGATTGCACGTGTGTAACAATGGCTTCAATTTATCTAACACTTTGTTTTCAAGTGCTTTATATACAGTGTACCATTTAATTATTTTTCTTTTTTTTCTCTTGAGCTTGTGCCTGGAGATAGTTTTTAAAATGTCTTACTTTACTGATGAGGTAACTGAAACCTTGAGAAGCTGGCAAACAGAATGGAAGTTAAATGCATGGACTCTGGAGACAAATTACCTGGGTTTGGGCTCCAGCTCTGTCTCCCATTTTTTTTTTTTTTTTTTTCTGAGACAGAGTTTTGCTCTTGTTACTCAGGCTGGAGTGCAATGGCGCGATCTCGGCTCACCGCAACTCCACCTCCTGGGTTCAGGCAATTCTCCTGCCTCAGCCTCCCGAGTAGCTGGGATTACAGGCGTGCGCCACCATGCCTGGCTAATTTTTGTATTTTTAGTAGAGACGGGGTTTCACTATGTTGACCAGGATGGTCTCAATCTCTTGACTCGTGATCTACCCACCTTGGCCTCCTGAAGTGCCGGGATTATAGGCATGGGTCACCGCGCCCAGCCCGTATCCCATTTTTTGTCACCTTCCTTGGGTAACAAGTTACTTAACTTCTTTTGCCTCAGTTTCTTCATCTACAAAACAAGGATAATGATACTGTATATTTCATTGGGCTATTATAATTAAATGAGTTATTCATATATGTAAGACATTTAGAATAGTAATTGGCAAATAGTAACAAAATGCATTAGTTCTTACTAAGTAATTTGCCTAGGGTAACGTAATTAGTGAGTGGCAAAGCCAGGATTTGGACTAAGGTCTCTCTAACCTCAAGATTTTTCTATTGAATCATGTTTTACCCTCTAGGAAGTCATTCCTTACCCTCTAGATCTAGATTGGGTGCCTTTTGTTTACATTTCTGGACCCGTCTGTACTTTCCCCATCACTCTGCTGTATCTTGCTTTCTTAGCTCTAAAGGACCCATCTTGTGTCCTTACTGCTTGTTTCATAGTAGGTGCTCAATAAATGGTGGTTTTCATTTGCATTTGAGAAGACTTTCTGAGTGTCTCTCAAACCACCTTCTAGTTACCCCGTTAGGGTTCCAGGATTTCTAGAAATGTGGACCTCATGGCCAGTAGGGCATGGAGGGGCCAGTAGGATGATCTGTGTGTTGGGCTCGACGTGTGTGCTCAAGGCCAACGCCAGGGCAGCAAAGTCACAATGATTTCGTTGAGCAGCATGGCTTGGCTGGAGTTGGGGTAGGTGGGGTGCCACTTTCTTGGGACACATTCTGGATAATCAGATACCTTGTGTTCTTGATGCAGGTAATAGCTGCTGCTGGAAGTGATGAAAAGTGCAAGCTGGTGCTGCAGAGGGGTGCGCAGTCCAGTGTGAACTACAGTCAGGGCAGCCTGAAGGATGCAGTGAGGAAGCTGGTGGGCAAGGGCGGGGTGAATGTGGCCATCGACATGGTGGGAGGAGACGTCTTCCTGGAGGCTCTCCGCAGGTGTGTGGGGTGGTCTGCCCAGGAGCTCGAGCTGAAACCTTTCCTGATCTCTGCCTTCCTTCTGGCCTTGCTTCTCTCTCATCTTTGCTGTTCACTTCTCCTGTAGGCATCAGCATCAACGAGAACAGCTGAGTGGGTGGGTGAAAAGGAATAGAAGCAGAGAAAATCAGGAAATGCTTATATATAGCAAAAACAAAATACCCAGCTGGAAAATATCCAAAAAATGACTGCAGACTCTCTAGTTGGCAATGCCAAATGCTTTAGAAATTATGTATGTGTTAAATTCAGCTATGCCAGCTCCCACTAACTACTTTATATCCATGTCTGTGGGCAATTCTCGCAGAGGGTATTATTCAGATATTAGAATTACTGGGACAGCAATTCCCCTTTTCCCATTTCACTGTGGACCAAGGTACGGGCTCTTCTCATCTTACTGCTTTCTAAAGCAACCAGCAGTGTAGATACTTCCTTGACTTGTTTTATTTAAAAAATATAACTGGAGATTTAGTAGGAGTGTTGTATCACACCAGTTCTTATTCTGTTTTCAACCAAGGATTCTGGAGTAGACTCTGATAGCATTGGTTTCATTTCTCATGTCATCCTGGCAAGCATAATTTTGTAGTTTATCTCAGTTTCAAGTAGGAGCAGCAGAAGCAGAGAGAGCAGCCGACCCACAAAAGGGATCCAGTTGGTTCTCTAGCTCCTGAGCTGAATGGCAGGCAGTCTATATGTTTGTTCATCACTGCACCATGCCTGGTGCTGTGCTTAGAGAAAAAGCAAAGTGATTGTGTAGTCCAAGTGGAATGCCAGGAGAGAGAGCTGGTAAAACTCTCCCATCTCTTGCCTTCCTCCTTGCCTTCTGGATAATTGTGTTTTAGCAATAGCTTCTCATTTCCCTTCTAAAGAAGAAAAGCAAAAAGCAAAAACCAAACAAATATACACGTATTTTATATCAAAGATGTTTGCAAAAGTTGTTTCTGTAACTCACTGCTTAGCAATGGTACTGTAGGGGACTTTTCATACTGGGCTGCAGAATACTTTTGAATTTCTGTAGATTATTTAAAATTCTCCAAAGAGGCACATGCATTAAAGGAATCCTAAATCCTAAAGTAAGTCTTTGTATAAAGCAAATGGTTCTTCCCTCATTAAAGCGTATTCTTCTTATTTCTGCTTCTTAAGTTCATAATCTTCAAACTGAGTTACCTCAATGCAACCTATGGAGTGACATTTGTCTATATGTCCAATTTTCTTCCACAAAGTGGTTGAGGTAGTTGAATAGATAGCCTTGATTTTTTTTTTTTTGGGGGGGGGACAGTATCTCACTCTGTTGCACAGGCTGGAGCATAATGGTATAGTGGTGCAGTGAGGGCTCCGTGGCTCACTGCAGCCTTGACCTCCTGGGCTCAAGCAGTCTTCCTGCCTTAGCCTCTCAAGTAGCTGGGTGTGTTAGTCTGTTCTTACACTGCTAATAAAGACATACCTGAGACTGGGTAATTTATATATATATATATATATATAAAGGTTTAATTGACTCACAGTTCAGCATGACTGGGGAGGCCTCAGGAAACTTATAGTCATGGTGGAAGGGGAAGCAAACATGTCTTCCTTCACATGGCAGCAGCAAAGGGAAGTGCTGGGGAGAAGCCCCTTATAAAAACATCAGATCCTTTGAGAACCCACTCACTATCGCAAGAACAGCATAAGGGTAACTGTCCCCCTGATTAAGTTACCTCCCACTAGGTCCCTCCTATGACACATGGGGATTATGGGAACTACAATTCAAAATGAGATTTGGATGGGGACACAGCCAAACCATATCACTGGGACTACAGGCATATGCCACCATGCCTGGCTAATATTTTTATACATTGTAGAGACAAGGTCTCACTAGGTTGCCCAGCCCGGTCTTGACCTCCTGGGCTCAAGTGATCCTTTTGCCTTGGCCTCCAAAGGTGCTTAGATTATAGGCTTGAGCCACTGCACCTCGTTCAACAGCCTTTATTCTAAAGTGGGCCCCCTTATAAAATTGGCTAGTTCCTTTGGCTCCCTAATCCCTTGCTTATGGCGTATATATATATATATATATTTTTTTTTGCTGAGAAGCCCAAAATAATAAAGGATGGTTCACTCCTGCCAATTTGCAAGGTCAAGAGGAGTTCCCAGCTGTGGATTTAATACATGTTGTTTTTTTTTTTTTTAAATGGTGGTAAAACATGCCATAATCTAATATTTATCATTTTAATGATTTATAAGTGTGCAATTCACCAGCATTAAATACAGTCATAATGTTGCATAATCATCCCCCAAAAAAACTCTGTACTTGTTAAACATTAATTGCCTCTTTCCCCTTCCCAACCCCTGGTAACCTCTGCCCTTTCTTTCTCTGTGAAAATTAATGTACATTCCTTTTTTTTTTCATTCTCCTTTTTTTTTTATTATGGTAAAAAACAGATAACATAAAATTTGCCATCTTAACCATTTTCAAATGTACAGTTCAATAGTGTTAATTATATTCACATTGTTGTGTGACAGATCTCAAGAACTTTTTCATCTTGTAAACCTGAAACTATAGCCATTAAACCACATCTCTCCTTTCCTCCCTTTTCTTAGCCCTTGGTAACCACCATTGTACTTTCTGTTCCTACGAATTTAACTAATTTAGATACCTCCTGTTAAGTGGAATCATACAGTATTTATCTTTTTATGTTTGGCTTATTTCGCTTAGCATAATGTTCTCAAGGATCATCCATGTTATCGCATGTGACAGGATTTCTTTCCTTTTTAAGCCTGAATAATATTTCATTATATGTATATATCACATTTTGCTTATCAGTTATCTGTTGATGGACAATAGGTTGCTTCTACTTCTTGGCTATTGTGAATACTGCTGCTATGAATATGGGTATGCAAGTATCTCTTTGAGACCTTGCTTTCAATTGTTTTAGATATATATCAGAAGTGGAATTGCTAAACCTATTTTTAATTTTTTGAGGAAACTTCATACAGTTTTCTGTAGTAGTTGCACCATTTTATAATCCCACCAACAGTGCTCAAGGGCTTAAATTTCCCTCGCCAACATTTTTCACTTATTATTTTATGAGACTAGCCATCCTAATGGGTGTGAATGTATGTTGTTTTTTTTTTATAATTTCTTTTTCTTCTTCTCTGTCTCCTCAGCCTGGCATGGGAGGGCAGGATTGTGGTGGTGGGATTTGCTGGAGGAAACATCGCTTCTGTGCCAGCCAACCTTCTACTCCTGAAGAATGTCTCTGCCATGGGCCTGCTCTATGGTCAATACAAAGAAACAAAGTTTCCTGTCTTCTCCAAGAGCCTGTCTTCATTGCTTCAGTACTGCCAGCAAGGGCGCATACAACCATATGTCGGAATGGTTTTCAAGCTGGAGGAGGTGAGACGTACTTAAGGGATGTGATGCGGATGAGGCCAGGAAATACTTTGTGTCAAGCTGTTGGGTATAAATTTATCTCTGGATACTATAAATCCTCCTTTTACAAAATAAAAAGGTGAAAATGCAACACAAACTAGTGGAATTGCACAGGAGTCGGGGCCACAGGATTTTTCCTAGTCTTCTGGGTTGTATGGCAGTAGACTCAGGCCCAATGTGAATCTGAATCCCTGAAGGCCATGTGAAGCTGAAATTTGAGGGCTCTGTCCACATTCCTGCTCTCTCAAATAGGGGAAAGTTACGGTACTTTAGAAAATGATTTACACGTGTTGATATGAACTTTGAACTCTACAGCATACAAGTCTAAGAAAGTGCTTGGCATGACATTTGGTTTTAAAATATAGATGCTTTAAAGCACAACCAGATGATCTACGTTGGGGTTCTGTGAGAAGAACACTAAATCGTGCCTGGCATCATAAGACTGTAATTCATCCATTAGTCACTGTAGTTAATTTTGTTGGCTATTCACTCCCTTTTTTCTTTCCCCCCAATCTCATTAATGTGGCTTATACTTCCTCCGGAGTGTAACTGTAAGCATGCATATGCAATATAGTTGTAAATGTGAATCGCTTAGGCATTCACTGTGAAGACTTTATTATTTTTTTGACTTAATTTGTTTTAATGTTCAAAAAAACTGTCTTGGTAACTCCTGTCAGCCATAGATGGAGGTGATATTTTGTTCAAATGCAGATTAGTGGAGTCCAAGCTGTCGGTGCCAGACTTCGTGGCTAACCAGCCTTCCATGGTTGTTTCTTCCTGTGAGGAGACACATTCTTTTCAAACATGGCTTATTTTCTTTGTCTTTTTAGTATGTAAGTTAGGAAGATGGTGTTCAGTGGTAAAGAGAACCTAACTGTCTGGTGGAATACTGGTTGGATGCCAGTCACAGCTTTGTCCCTCCAGCTGTGTCATTTTGTGGAAGTCCCCTTGCTTTTCTGACTTCAGTTTCTGCCTCTCTAAAATTAAGTGTTATGAGTAGTTTTCAGACTGTGCTGCAGGAACCACAGCAGGGATGTGGGGCTGGGGGCAGCAGGTGTAGATGTGAGCGGCTTGTTCTCTGGGACACCATCGCTGCTGGAGTTTGAGTAGCTGTACATTTTAACTACTTTGTTCAAACTTTTAAGAAAAGGACTTGTGACTTAAAAAAATGAAAACCCCAAGTTCTGAGTCCCCTTCCATCCTGCGGCTTTTAGCATGTGACTTCTAACCGGATGTTTGCTTTACCTGAGGCTATACCCATTGATAAGGGATAAGGACAATCAGGTATACAGAAGTGGAAACAAGTGTTAGTTTGAACTGCCTCTTCTCCCTCAAGGTCTTTTAGGTGCTGTTTAGGCAGGAATGAAAGCCAGAGGTAGATTATGGTTTTAATTATCCCCGTTGAAGTTCTCTCTCCTCTGTAAACATGAATTGACTATGTAATTACTAACCACCTGTCAGCTTCCATTTGCCCTTCTCCTTTCCAGTGAGGGCTCAGCATGTGGGATTTATAGAGTTGTTCTCACTCTGCTGCCCTTGGTGTAATTGGGTGGCTCTTTAGGCCATGCTCCCTAACACATTTCAAGCATCTCATTCATACACCATCCATTTACCTTTTCTTCTTTTTCTGTTTCTTTCAATATGCAAACCATTTAGAGGATTAATAATAGGAATGACAGCTCATATACATTAGGCGCTTACTATGGGTCAAGAACTATGCTAAACACTTTACATGCATTATCTCCTTTAACCTTCACAACAACCCTTTGAGGTCTCAGCAACTCTATTACATTTTACAGATGAAAGAATCAGGACTTGTAGAGGCTAGGAGCCTTGCCCAGTGATAGGTAGGAAGTAAATCTAGTCTTGGACCATCTGATGCCAGAATCTGGGCTTCTTATGACTGTGTCAAACTCTCTCCTCAAACAAGCCAAGAAGTCACTTCTGAGAAGCCTTATTTTATAGAATGAAGTTTATCTATTTATCATAGAATTATCTGTGTGAAAGAACTATGTTGTAGTTAAAATAACCAGTACTCTTATATTTTCCTGAGCAGTACCAGAATTTATATATTTTGTTCTTTGTTCTTTTGAAAATGAAGATGGTTAAATGGATATATAATTAATTTCATTGAACTTTAAAGCCTGGGTAAGAAAAATATTAAATGAGCAAATTAGTAAACATGTAAATTGTTTAATACTGGAAAAGTTTTTTATCAGGACCTGTTTAGGTTTGGAAAATGACCACTGTACTGTATATAGAGAAAATACAAACTAAAAAGCACTAGTGAATCTGACTGGCTTGCATTTTCTCCTGAATATGTGTACTTGCAGATTGAACCTTGGTAGTTGATATTAATATGACCACAAACTTTGCACCGTAGATTTTTGAGTAGGCACAGGGTGTGAACTTCCGTAGGACTCTGCTTCTCCTTTATTTACTTGTGATTACTTGTCCAATGCCCGTCTTTCCCGTAGAGCATAAACTGTGTACAAGCAGGGTCATGTGCTGTCTGCACCTCGATATCTCCAGCTTCTGGCAGGCACTCACATATCTGCTGAATGACTGTGTATGAGTATGGGGCTCTGGGCTCAGACTAGCAAAGTTCAGATGCTGTGGGCAAATTACACATCTTTGTGCCTTAGTTTTCTCATCTGTAACAGGAGCAGCAATATACCCTGTCTCCTAGGGTGATTATGAGGATTAAATGAGATGATACATGTAAAAGCACATAATGATTGTAGTAACTTTTTAAAAGCATAAGATATTGCCATGTTAAAATATGGAGTTGAGCTTTTTCAGTTCCCCTCAACTGTAACATTTTTGCATTGATGTCTCAGAGGGAAAGATTTAAGACAGTCTTTAGATTTTGAATACTACTTAGAATTTATTATTTTCTGAAGGATTATATCCATGCTGTGGTGGGTGGATCATGAATTGGTCCTGTGATCTGTCCAGAGGAGGGCATTATTTAGATGTGCAGTGTCTGTTTTCTGTATGGAGCGGTCCCTGAACATGTCAGCTTGACATGGTGTTTAACCTCACAGATCTGAACTTGTTTATTATTTAGAAGTCAGGTGAGATCATCATATGAACAGATGGATAGAAATTGTTAATGGATAGAAATTGTTTGCTTGAAATTTTCTGTGTATCTGTGGCATATTCTTAAAAATGAAACTACTCTTTTAGTTTAGAAGGTCTATTAATTATAGCCCATTGTTCTAGACCCAGTTTGTGAAACTCTCCATATCTGCTGGCCCCACCTGCTCCAGGCCTTGGCCATTTACCACACTTTTCCAGTGATGACTCCTGTAGCTGATCCTGTGGTTTATACAGCCCAAATCACTATCCCTGGGATGCATCTCCTAACATCGTTAATGGCCTCGTGCTTTCCTGGGTTGGGAATTGATCCTAGAGGCAAGGGCTCCATTCTGCTTATGACAGAGGAACTTCTGCAGCTCTGGTGCAAAGGTTTGATCCAAATGGACCTGTTGAAGCCTCTGGCTTTCCCAGAAACTGTATGCAGGGGCTGGGCAATGCAGTCCAGAAGTATAGGTATTTCACTCCATTGATCAAGCTTTTCATTGGGAGGAATGAAAGGAGATAAATTGTTTGCTTTTTCTCCTCCCTGTTGACTGTTTCATATGGCTCCCGCTTCTTTTTTTTTTTTTTTTTTTTCAGACGGAATTTTGCTCTTGTTGCCCAGGCTGGAGTGCAGTGGCGTGACCTCGGTCACTGCAACCTCTGTGCACTGGGTTCAAGTGATTCTTCTGCCTCAGCCTACCAAGTAGCTGGGATTACAGGCACCTGCCACCACACGAGGCTAATTTTGTGTTTTTAGTAGAGATGGGGTTTCACCATGTTGGTCAGGCTGGTCTCGAACTCCTGACCTCAGGTGATCGACTCGCCTCGGCCTCCCAAAATGCTGGGACTATAGGCGTGAGCCACTGCACCCGGCATTTTTTTTTTTTCTTTCTTTCTTTTTTTTTTTTTTTTTTTTGTGAACAACCATTGCTACTATCTAGTGGCTTCTCTATAGATGTCCTGTGAGAATGACAGCTAACTACGTGTCCCCCTGAAGCTACAACCAATTCAAAATCAGTAACACAATGCACTGTAGTTTCTCCTTCTTTCATTGATTTGCTTCACTTTTTCCTTTACTCTTGCCTCTCTGGGATTGCAGCCCTTAGTGATGCATTAGGGCATAACTTTTGATTAGGTTCTATTTTCTATGGGCCAGGCTGATGCTCAACTTCAAAAATTTATTTATTTTTATGTTTAGTACCACATTGCCTGACTTTTTAAAAAAAGTTAAGTTTGTTGAGATATAATTTACATATAATAAAATTCACCCTTTTTAGATGTACAGTTCTCTGAGTTTTGACAAACCTGTAGAGCATATAGCTACCCCACCACAGTCAAGATATAAGAACATTTCCGTCACCCCCAAAAGTTCCCTTGTGTGCCTTGTAATTAGTCTCCTTTTCCTACTCCACAGCTACTGGTAGTCACTGACCTGTTTTCTTCCTGTATACTTTTTCTTTTCCGGAATGTCATGTAAATGAAATCAGCCTTTTGAGTTTGGTTTCTTTCTCTTTGTGTAATGCTTCTGAGGTGCACCATGTTGCTTCGTGTGTCAGTAATCCATTCCTTTTTATTGCTGAGTAGTATTTCATTGTATCGATGTACCACAGTTTTTAAATTTTTCATTCACCAGTATACAGACATTTGATTGTTTTCAGTTTTTGGTGATTATAAATTTATCTTCTATAAACATTCATGACAGGTGTAGATGTATGGTTTTATATATTTTAGGACTGAAATTTCTGGGCTATATGCTAGATGTATGTTTAACTTAAAACAATTTACACAGATGTTTAATTGGTTTTACTTTTCTCCTCATTCTCCAGTGTTGCCTAGATAACATCATGAAGAATGTTATGAGGCAAGGATTGAATTGTAGCTGCTTCTGAATGATAACGTTAAAATAAATCTGTGCAGAATTCTAAAAATAACAGATGTTGATGCCCCTTCAAAAGTGGGCACCTTCAATGATATCAGCAGCTCTTTATGCCCCAGTTATTCAGAAGCAATTCTGTTTCAGTTTCCATATCCTATGACTTTGAAGACAAGGCCACTGATACCACATTCCTACCAAAGCCCATATTACACAGGTTTTCTATTTCTTTTGCTGTATTCTGGATTAGAAACTGGTGCTCTGGCATACAAATGTGCCCAAAGTTGAGCTGTCTGGTTTAACATTTTGGGATTTTGCTTGTATTGGTTTGCTACTACATGTTTAGCTTTTAATAAATTGGCAAACTATTTTCCACAGTGCTTGTGCCATCTTGCATTCCCCATGTATGAGAGTTCCAGTTGCTGTGCATCTGCCAAAACTTAGTCTTGTCAGTTGTTTCCTTGAATGTTCACCATTTCATTAGATTTGTAGAGGATCTAAGATTTAGATAAACTTAGATCAATGATGTGATTAATGTAATTCACCTTAAGAACATACTGCTAGCCAAAAGTTTTTACCTTTTAAAAACAATCCCATTTCTGTAGGCTGGGGTTGAACCTCGTTAAAGCATAAGTCTCACAGGGCCTGTAAAACAATAGCACAATGAAGAAAACAGTATCTAGGTAACAACTAATATGATGAGTAGAACAGTACATAACACCTCAATGTTAACATCAAATGTAAATGGCCTAAACGCTCCACTTAAAAGATACAGAATGGCAGAATGGATAAAGAGCCACCAACCAAATATTTGCTATCTTCAAGAGACTCTCCTAACACGAAAGGATTCATGTAAATTCAAAATAAAGGGGTGGAGAAAGAGGTTCCACACAAATGGAAACCAAAAGCAGGCAGGAGTAGCTTTCTTATAGACAAAACAGACTTTAAAGCAGCAACAGTTTAAAAAAATTCAAAGAAGGACATTATGTAATGATGAAAGGATCAGTCCAACAATAAGTTGTTATAGTCCTGCATTTATATGCATCTAACACCAGAGCTTCCAGAGTTACAAAACAATTACTGCTAGACCTAAGAAATGAGATAGTAATATAATAATAGTAGGGGACTTCAATACTTCACTCATAGCAGTAGACAGATCGTCAAGACAGAAAGTCAATAGACTTAAACGATACCCTAGAACAAATAGACTTAACAGATATTTACAGAACATTGTACCCAACAGCTGTAGTACTCTACATTCTTCTCATCAGCACATGGAATATTCTCCAAGTTAGACCATATTATAGGTCACAAAACAAGTCTCAATAAATTTAAGAAAATCAAAATCATATCAAGTATCTTCTCAGACCACAGTGGAATAAAACTGGAAATCAACTTCAAAAGCAACCCTCAAAAACTGTATAAACACATGGAAATTAAATAATCTGCTCTTGAATGATTTTTTTGGTTAACAATGAAATCAAGAAGGAAATTAAAAATTCTTTGAAATGAATAATACTGACACAACTTATCAAAATCTCTGGGATACAGCAAAAGAAGTACTACGAGGAAAGTTCATAGCATTAAATGCCTACATCAAAAAGCATGAAAGAGCACAAATTGACAACCCAATGTTACATTCAAGGAACAGGAGAAACAAGAACAAACTAAACCCAAACCCAGAAGAAGAAAAGGAATAAGAAAGATCAGAGCAGAGCAAAATGAAATTGAAACAACAACAACAAAATACAAAAGATAAATGCAACAAAAGCTGGCTCTTTGAAAAGATTAAGTTGGTACACCATTAGCAAAATTACCCAAGGAAAGAGGAGAGAAAATCCAAATAAGCTCAATTAGAAATGAAACTGGAGATATTACAAATGATACTACAGAAATAACAAAAGATCATTCAAGGCTACTGTGAACACAAGTACAAACTAGAAAATCTAGAGGAAATGGATAAATTCCTAGAAACATACAACCCTACTAGATTGAATCAGGAAGAAACAGAAACCATGAACAGACCAGTAACAAGAAGAGAGATTGAATCAGTAATAAAAAAAAATTGCCAACAAAAAAAGGAGCCCAGGACCAGATAGATTCACAGCTGAATTCTGCCAGACATTCAAAGAAAGATTGGTACCAATCCCAGTGAAACCATTCCAAAAGATAGAGAAAGAGGAAATGATTCCTAAGTCATTCTATGAAGCCAGTATCACCCTAATACCCAAACCAAGAAAGGACATAACAAAAAAAGTAAACTACAGACCAATTTCCCTTGTGAATATAGAGCAAAAGTCCTTAACAAAATACTAGATAACCAAATCTAACAGCCCATCAAAACGATAGCACATCATGATCAAGTGGGTTTCATCCCAGGGATGCAGGGATGGTTTAACATATGCAAGTCAATAAATGTGGTACATCACATAAAAAGAATTAAAAACAAAAACTATATGATCATTTCAATAGATGCAGAAAAAGCATTTGATAAAATCCAGCATCGCTTTATGATAAAAACCTCAATAAAACAGACATAGAAGGGACTTACCTCAAATTAATAAAAGCCATTTGTGACAAACCCACTGTCAACATCATACTGAATGGGGAAAAGTTGAAAGTATTCCTGATGAGAACTGGCACAAGACAAGGATGCCCACTTTCAGCACTTCTATTTAACATAGTACAGGAAATCCTAGCCAGTGCAATCAGGCAAGAAAAAGAAATAAAGGATATCCAAAATGGAAAAGAGGAAGCCAAATGGCTGCCATTTGCTGATGACATGATTGTATACTTAGAAAACCCTTAAGACTCATCCAAAAAGCTCCTACATCTGAGAAACGAATTCAGTAAATTCTCAGGATACAAAATCATTGTACACAAATCAGTTGCGCTACTGTACACCAACAGTGACTAAGCTGAGAATCAAATCAAGAATTCAGTCCTTTTTATAATAGCCGCAAAAACAAAAACAAAAACAAAAACAAAACAAAACAAAAAAACTCCTCCAAAAACCCTAGGAATATACTTAACCAAGGAGGTGAAATACCTTTATGAAGAAAACTGCAAAACGCTGTTGAAAGAAATCATAGATGACACAAGCAAATCGAAACACATCCCATGCTCATGGATGGGAACAATCAATATTATGGAAATGACCTCCTGCCCAAAGCAATCTACAGATTCAATGCAATTCCCATCAAAATATCATCATTCTTCACATAACTAGAAAAAAATTCCTAAAATTCATATGGAACCAAAAAAATGCCCATATAGCCAAAGCAATGCTAAGCAAAAAGAACAAATCTGGAGGCATCACATTACCTGACTTCAAATTATACTACAAGGCCATAGTTGCCAAAACAGCATGCTACTGGTTTAAAAATAGGCACATAGACTAATGGAACAGAATAGAGAAACTAGAAATAAAGCCAAATTCTTACAGTCAACCAATCTTCAACAAATCATACAAAAACATGAATTAGGGAAAGGAGACCCCATTTAGTAAATGGTACTGGGAAAACTGGCAGGCCACATGTAGAAAAAACAAACTGGATCCCTATCTCTCATCTTATACAAAAATCAACTCAAGATGGATCAAAGACTTAAATCTAAGACCTGAAAAACTTCTGGAAGATAACATCAGAAAAACTCTTCTAGACATTGGCTTAAGCAAATAAATTGTGACTAAGACCCCACTGTCACCTTTCCATGTCCAGTTGCCACTTCTGTTGTAACTGTAGCTGCTTCTAAAAATAACCCAACTCTGTCCCTTTCTACCTGGTGGTCTCTGTCTGGGCTGGGAAAACAGACTGACTCTCAGTGGGGATGGATAAAAGGCTACATATTGGGTACCATGTATACTGCTGGGTGATCGGTACACTAAAGTCTCAGAAATCACCACTAAGTAACTTATCCATGAAACCAAAAACCACCTGTACTTCAAAAACTAATAGGAAAAACCCAGTCCCATTCATCTCAGATATATTCATTAATTCATGATTTATTTTATTCATCAAACATTCACTGTATGTCAGTCAATAAAAAGTAATATTTAGCCTTGCTCATAAAGAGTTTATTTTTTAGTTGGGAAGATCTCAAGGGAAGAGCCAGTTTCTAATGAATGCACATATCAATATGATATATTTAGAAAACTCTAAGTTACTTTGATTATTCCTGATTGAAGAACTAGTTAAAAATTCCAACAGCAGAACCTTTATATCCTAAAACAAAAGCAGTGTTCTTATCCTGCTCCAAATGCCAGCTTGCATTTCTCCAGAGACAAATTTAATTATGGCTTCATCCAACTGAAGGCAGAAAACCAGGGTGCTGGGAACAGCCTGTGTATCTATTATATCTAGGCATCAGTATTGTGCAGTCTTCCTCTCTGTAACACAGCCTGCAGAATCCAGGAGGAAAGTGTCCCTAGGCTATCTGAAGTAGCTATCCAAAGACTGGTCTAAAGCCATACGCTTTACTTTTCAGTTTCTCACTCAGATCCTTATTACCTTGATTAAACTTCCAGTCCTTAACACCACTGAGAGTCAGTCTGTTTTCCCAGCCCAGACAGAGACCACCAGGTAGAAAGGGACAGAGTTGGGTTATTTTTAGAAGCAGCTACAGTTACAACAGAAGTGGCAACTGGACATGGAAAGGTGACAGAATATCGGAAAAACAAGGTAAGATAATGGATGTTCAACATTTTGAAATGCTCAAGTCATGGAATGAGAAGATTGTGCTTTCCCCCAGTATTTTCTGTTATAGAAGTCACAGAAATATGTGACACATTCTAATAAAGATTCATATGCAATATGATTAAAATTAGCTTGAGCATTTGAGAGGACAGCTTTCTTTTTATGTTAACATTTATTTGCAGAAGATTCTTCATTCCCTTAGGATGCCAGCAAAAAAGTATCACTAGCTTTAATAATATTTATTTTCTCAAGTATTTTCTATTGTTGGGCTATGACACATCTCTGGGAACAAGTGACTTCTAACTGACAGAGAGAGTGATGCAGCTGTGAGTCACCTGGAAATGACTGACAAGTGGGATGAGTGTTTCAAACATCTGTCTTAGACCTCTTCCACCTCCTTGTCGAGAGTCTAAATTTGCTTAGATGGGAAAGGTCTCTATAAGGCACAGAGCTCTGAAAGATAGATGTTTTAGAAACCAGGGATTTCATACGGCAGAGGGATTGCCATGATTGATTTGTTCCTGTACTTATTTTATTTTTCGTATTTTTTTTTTTTTGGAGAATCTCAAATGGAAAGGGTTGATTAATCATAATCTTTATTTCAAAGCACATTTTCATTGTTGGATCATGGAAAGCTGATCTTTTGTTTTATGTCGGTAATTTTATGAATGTCTCTACTTACTTATTCCCTTTATCCTTGTTTCCCACTGCCTCTCCCTACTCTTTTTCCTTGCTTCTGAGCCAGTCTGTGATGAGTTTGACATGTATCTTTGGATTTACATTTCCTTGTAAAACAAATAGAGTTAATTTGTGTGTTAATTTCTTTTTAAGTTACATAAATGGTGTGAGGCACTAGACCTTGTTCTGTTTCATAAACTCTCTCAGCACTGTCTTTTTAAGATCCATCTGTGTTGCTGTTCCTGTATCCAGTTCATTGCTTCCCACTGCCACATCGTGCTGCATGACGTACATCCACCACAGTTTACAGATTCATTCTCTACTGATAAACGTTGAGGTTGATTTGATTCCCTAATCAAGCCATAATAGTACAGCAGTAAACAGCCTTATATGTGTAACCTTAGGGACTTGTGCAAAGGTCACTTTGGGGTTATTTTCCCAGGCGTAGATTGTTGGGTCATAGGATGTATGCATACTTAATTTGACTGCCAATTACTCTCTAGAATGACTTGACCAGTTTGTGCCTCTATTAGCAGCACGTGAGAATTCTTGACTATTTGCCACCCTGTTGATATGTCCAACATTCAGATTTTTGCCAAACTGATAAGGCGTAAAGTGGCACCTTACTCTTTTCATTTGAGTTTTCCTGATTTCTAATACATTTAAGCATCTCTTTATATATATTTGGTATCCATTCAGGTTTCCAGTGCTTTGAATTGCAATTTAAGCTGTTTGTGTAGTCTTGTATTTGGCTTCCTGTCTCTTTGGGTTTTGTTCTTGTTTATTTGAGAGGAGGTCTTGCACTGTGACCTAGGCTGGAGTGCAGTGATGCGATCATGGTTCACTGAAGCCTACCTCTGGGCCTCAAGCAATCCTCCCAAGTTCAAGTGACTTCCTGCCTCAGCCTCCTGAGTAGCTGGGACTACAGGCATGTGCCAGCATGCCCGGCTAATTAAAAAAATTTTTTTAATAGAGATGGGGTCTCCCTGTGATTCCCAGGCTGGCCTCCAACTCCTGGGCTCAAGTGATCCTCCCAACTTGGCCTCCCGAAATGCTGGGATGACAGGTATGAATCATCATGCCTGGCCTTCCTGTCTTTTTCTTACTAAGTTGCAAACGTTCCTTGTGTATTCTGAAACATTGATGTGCATACAAATTACCTGGGAATCTTGTTAAGATTCAGATTATGATTCAATGAGGATAGGATGGGACTCCAGATCACGCATTTCCAATAAGCTCCTAGGTGATGCAGAAGCCTGGGGTTCTTGAACCACCCTTTGAGTTGCAAAGCTCTAGATGTTAGTTTGAGACTTTGCAAAAGTCTTCTTTCACATTTGTCATGCTACTATCACTTTTGTCTAGATTTAATTGCTTTTTGTCTAGATTTAATTGCTTCACAGCTCTAAAAAAATCCCCTGCGCTCTACATAGTCATCCTTACCCCCAGCCCCTCAGTCCCTGGCAGCCACTGATCCTTTTACTTTCTCTACAGTTTTGCCTTTTCCTGAATTTATATGGTTGGATTCAGACTGCATGTAGCCTTTTCACACTGGCTTCTTTCACTTAGAAATATGCACTTAAGGTTCCTCCATGTCTTTTCTTGGCTTGGTGGATCATTTCTTCTTATCACAGGATGATGTTTCGTTGTATGGATGTACCACGGATTGTTTTTCCATTCACCTATTTAAGGACATGTTGGTTGTTTTCAAGTTTTGGCAATTGTCAATAAAGCAGCTATAAACACTTATGTGCAGGCTTTTGTGTGGACACAAGTTTTTGGATCATTTGGGTAAATACCTAGGAGTGAAATTGCTGGATTGTATTGTGAGGATGTGTTTAGTTCTGTAAGAAACTGCCAAATTGTTTTCCAAAGCGACTGTACCATTTTGTATTCCCTCTAGCAGCAAATGGGAGTTTCTATTGCCCCACATCCTCACCAGCATTTGCTGTTAGTATTTTGGATTTTAGCCATTCTGGCAGGTTTGTAGTGATGTCTCATTGTTGTTTTAATTTGCAGTTCCCTAGTGACATGCTGTTGGGCATCTTTTTATATGCTTATTTTCCATCTGTATATCTTCTTTGGTGACGTGTCTGTTCAGATCTTTTGCCTGCTTTTTATTGTTAAGTTTTAAGAATTATGTGTATATTTTAGATACAAGTCATTTATCAGATATGTGTTTTGCAGATATTTTTCTCTCTGACTGTGGCTTGTCTTTTTATTCTTTTAACAATGCCTTTTGCAGAGCATAAGTTTTTCACTTTAAGAAGACAACTTACCAATTTTTTTTTCATGGATTGTGCTTTTTTGGTGCTGTATCTAAAAACTCATTTCTAAACCAAGGAGACCTAGATTTTTCCCCATATTTTCTTCTGGAAGTTTTATAGTTTTGCATTTTACATTTAAGGTCTATGATCCAGTTTGAGGTGGTTTTTGTGAAGAGTATCAGGTCTGTATCTAGATTCATATTTTTGCATGTGGATATCCAGTTTTTCTGGCACCATTTGTTGAAAGACTGTTCTGTCTCCATTGAATTGCTTTGCTCTCTTGTCAAAGATCTGTTGACTATATTTGTATGGATCTATTTTTGGATTCTCTATTCTATTCCATTGATCTGTTTGTCTGTTCTTTCACCAATATGACAATGCCTTGATTACTGTAGCTGTTTTAGATATGTTTTGTAACCTTGTACTTCCTAAAAAAGATTCAAGATAGATTACAATTTCAGTTACATAGGAAACAGGACAATTTTAATAAAAAGACAAAAATTATTAAACATAAAAATATTGATTCTTCTGCCATTGGCTCCATTCTTTCAAAAGCTAGAAAACGAAGAGCTATTACGGTGGAGTATGGACAGGTCTAGGACTTTTTACCGTCTGGCGTGTATTTGACAACACTGAGAATTACGCATTTAGATAGAAATATTGAGCTTGGGTTATTCTTGAATGTTGTTTTCCTTTGCATTTGTGATAACTAGTTAGTATTGCATACTTAGTTATTTATAGTTCATTGGAGATACATCTTAATATGTTGGTTATTTTAATAACTGAACTAGCAACAACTGTTTGTTGAAATATCCATATATGCAAATCTGACTACATTCTTTTGCATTTTGTTTTAGGTCAATGATGCCTTCCTTCATGTGATACAGGGGAAATCCATGGGCAAGGTGCTTCTCGCTCTTAAATAAATCCTCACCTCAGCAGCAAAGTTAACATGTCCAGATCAAAACTCAACATCTTTCCCAGAAACCTGATTTCCCTTCTGTGTTTCCAAAGGTGTTACCACTTTCCTTACTAATCCAGGTTTAAAATCTTAGAGTTAGCTTTGATTCTGTTTACTAATTGCTCCTAATTAATATGGTTATATAATTTATTGTCCAAACTTGGATCTTTTTGAGAGTGAAAGGATGCCATTAGTCCTTACATCAGGAAAACATACCCCAGGCAAACCAGAAGGTATGGTCAGCCTACTTGATGCTTTATGAAATGCGTTATGAAATCACTATTGCCAAGTTCTGTCATTCCCATCTCTGAGATATCTCTCACATCCATATCCTCTTTTCCATTCTATTTATGCCTCATTTGCTGTCACCAGTGACCTTCTCACTGCTTTTCCTACCTTTAAACTACTCTCACCACTTCCATCCTTGTGATGCATTATTGCCATGGTGATCTTCCTGAAGCATAACTCTATGTCCCATTTCAAAAACCTACAGTGGCTCACCATTGCCTGATGGTGGAGTTCAGACTCTTTGAGCTAGCATTTCATTGTGACCATGACTTTTCCCTGCACCACTTTGCAGCCTTATGGCCCACAGTTCCACTGGGCCCGAAGTATGTACTGAATTTTCTGCCTCTCTTATTTTGCTCTGCTTGTGCAATTTTTTCTGCCCTCCATTTCTGTCAAACATAAACCTTCCTGACCTCTAACACCTACCCCTGTCATGTGCCTTTACCATCAGACAAGGGGTAATCTGTTCTCTTCCTCTTGTACCTTCCTGTAGCTTCTCCCCCAGGAGTTGTCACATTCGGCCTTGATTCATAAGGAACAACATGTGTAGTGGAATGAATACAGGCCTCCGAATCCAAGATGTAAGTTTAAATCCCAGCTTTGGAGGTGGTTACTTAAGGTCTCAGTGCCTTCATTTTTCTTCCTATATAAAGTGGCTATTACAATATTTACCTCGCAGAGTCATTGGGAGCTATACATGCAGTGATTGGGTAAAGCACCTGGCACACGGCAAGCAATTAGCAAATGCTGGTTACTTCTACTGTTTTCCCTTCCAGCTATTCAGGAGGCTGAGGCAGGAGAATCACTTGAGCCCAGGAGGCAGAGGTTACAGTGAGCCGAGATTGTGCCACTGCACCCCAGCCTGGGCAATAAGAGTGAAACTCTGTCTCATTAAAAAGAAAAAAAAAGAATTTTAGATAAGGGATCCTCAATGTGCAACATATGGAATGGCAGTTGCAAGCTGGGGAGGAGAGAATGGAGAGTTATTATTTAATGATACAATGTTTCCATTCAGGAAGATGGAAAGTTTTGGTGGTGTGTGGTGATTATGATTGTGCAGCAATGAGAAGGTACTTAACACTGCTTAGCTGTACACTTAAAAATGGTAAAAATGATAAATTTTATGTATGTCTTATAGCAATAAAAAATGTTAAAAAAAATCATGTTATCCTCCTTTCTAAGTGAATCCATTCAGGGAAGAGAACAGGGAATGTGTGTAGCCTGCCTAGCTTAGGCTGAAGTCAGCTCCAGTCTCTGCCGGCATCCTGGTTTGCTGGGAGAGGTCCTGTACTTGGGCTGGGTGCTAAACATTGTGCTGTATTCCTCCTACTGCATGAGTGATAATTCTCAAAAAGGAGGAGGTGGCGTAGGGATAAAAACAGGCACCTGACACAACAGAGACATGTGGGTACTTCCACTTATTCTTGATTAAGTCTGCTTCCAATAAATGTGGTAAGAGGCTTTGTTTAGAAAAATACATATTTTTTTGGAAGAATAGAATGGTAAGATAGGGATTAACATTTGAGGAAAGAATTGGAAACGAAGAAATTAGCAGAAGGAAGGGGGAGGAGAAAGATGTCAGGGAAATCACCCACGAGTGTGTTGTGGGCCACATGGTACTTCCACGGGGGCCAGCGCACATGCTACCACCTCTTCCGTGTCACAGGGGATTAGTTTCAGCCTTCTGGGAACTTCATGACCTGTGATTCCATTTCATAATAGGCTTCCTCTCACCTCCCTTCCCCCATCCCCATTTCATCTTAATATGAGCTATTTTTATATTTAAATAAAAGTTGGTTTTCAAAAATATTAAAAAAGTAAACTTTGAGCCTTATTTTAGAGTTTTGTAACAGCCTTTGGCATCACTGAAGACATGCTGGATAGATCATGGGAGAGAAGACAAATTAGGATTGGGAAAAGTGTATGAGCCCAGCCAGGAGCTGCCTTTTCTGCTGCTGAGAGCTGATCAGTAGGTGTCACAGGTAATAAAGATCTATTGTCTCCAGTTCACTAACATCAAAATGACTTAGATTGAAAGAGGCAGTCATTTAGGAGAGTGAGTTTTTTTAGATTTAACAAGTTTTGGTTAGAACCTCTAATGACCTGTTCTCTCCTTGCCTCTGTTCCTGTTTCACTGGAATGATTTGATTTGAAAGCATTTGACTCATATTTTAGTCATCATTTGGTTGTTCTACCATCTGAGCCATTAGTTAGTCTGAAAAAAGAATCAATGCAGCTCCAAGTGACAGTATTTATTCTATATTCACAGACTTTTTCCCAGCTCTTCCTCGTAGGCTGCTGCTGGAGGAATCATGCCCACACGCCCACCTCCCCTTTTTCAGAAACTGTGGGTCTCTCCACCTGCACAACCAAAGTGAGGTTTTCTGCCATTATCTGTGGAATGATCCTATCTGTGCACCACCAGTATATTTGTTCCTGCTTTTTACTCTGTAACCTGTGTGAATTTAGAAAATGACCCTTCTATTTGAGTTATGGTAAAGATAATAAGGGCTGTTATTTGAGAAGTGAGGGATAGCAAGGTGCTTTCATGTATTCAATTGTATTTAATTTAAAGCAATTGGAGTAAACTAAGAAAAATTCATGCTATTATATTTTTTTCTAATTTTCCTTCCAGGTTTATATAAAGGAATCAATA